TTTTTGTAGATTATAGCTTCTGATGGCTTAAAAAGGATTCGCTCAAGGAATTTTCCTAATTGAAATAATTTTAAGTAATTTTATTTTTATTACATCCAAATGGTTTGAAATGGAACTAGTACAAACTGCTGGTATAAAAGTTGGTATAATGCATAGTATCGCTTTCAGTCCTGTCTCCCATCTTGATTTTTTTTCCTCAAAATTTCTGGTTGTGGTATAATTTCAGAAAGTGAACATATGCCTACATATATCTGCCCATATGCATGCAAAAATGTGTTATCCTGCAATTGTAGCATATTATGCTTTATCATTAAATATGTATCATGATATCCTGTTAAGTAAAATAATTAGTTCCCAAATGAGTGATACAAATACTGTTTTCATGGATTTTACCTTTGTTAACAGGGTTGTAGTGAATAGTCATTTTGTACCTGTGGGAGTGAACCTGTAGGTAAATTCTTAGAATTTCTTAACAGGTTTGTACAAATATAATTTTGATTGATTTTTATTAAATTGTTTTCCATTGAGATTGTGCCTTTTGTTACCAGCAATGTTAATGTGTTTTCACATAGTATTACCAAGCTGTTGATCTTTATCAATCTGATACACGAAAAATGATATCTCCGTGTAGTCTTAATTTTCATTGCTCTTATTAATGAAAGTTTTTGTTTTTGTGACAGAGTTGCTCTGGCTGTTGTGTAGTGGCATCACAGCTCACTGCAATCCAAACTCTTAGACTCCAGCAATCCTCCTGCCTCAGCCTCCCTAGTAGTTGGAACTACAGGCATATGCTGCCATGCCAGGCTAATTTTTTCTACTTTTGATAGAGACAGGGTCTCATTCTTGCTTAGGTTGGTCTTGAAATCCTGACCTCAAATGATCCTTGGCTTCCCAGAGTGCTAGGTTATAGGTGTGAGTCATTGAACTTGGCCTACTTTTGATATAGTTTAAGGTTTTTTTTTTGGCTTCATTTTTCTATAATGTCAGTCATTTTCTTACTGATTTATAAGTTCTTTATTAGTACATATTAGATGTGCGTGTTTTGGCATGCCTGTGATAATTTGATATTGATATAATCAAGTCAGGCTAATTGGGATATTGTTTTGCTTCATTATTTTAAAAAAATGTACATTTATACAGTTTAAAGAACTAAATGTTTCTACCAAGGTTTAGTAGTTTCTGTGCTTTTATTCTTGGAGAAGTTTCCTGAGAAAGAACTCTTAATAACTATTCCTTGGGAATTTATCTTCAGACCTCTCAGTAATGTGCTTCTGTTGCTGCTGCTTGATTTTTTTTTAGTTGTAGGAATTATCTATTAATCTCCCATTATAGAAGATGAGATTTAGCCCTTTCCCTCTGCTACTCCCCTATATACATGCACGCACACACAAACATACTCTCTCTTAATCTTTACATTTAAGGTAAAGTTTACTTACCAAGAACCTCTGTAATTTGTCCACTCACGGGACTGAAGCAAACTGGTCAACATAGGAACGAGGCCTTCTGTATTGATACATACATGTGGCGCATGGCCAGTATATGAAAATTAGGTCAGTTGAAGAGGTGGTTAGCGTAGGGAGGTGGTCAACTGTGGAGGTTCTACTGTAAT